AAAAATCAATTGCATATTCAAGCAACTTCTTATAAAGAAGTATCAATTCAGCAAAGACTTGTAGAAAATCTTTGCTTTTAAACTGCAACTTCCTAACAGAGCTACCGCGCTGTTTCAGATTAGACAGCCTTTTGCCGACGTAGCCCTTTATTGAACAAAAAGGATCGTGCGGAACGGATGAGCCAAACGCTCAAACCACAGGAGTCGTCAGAAAGCAGATATGTAAATCGATACTTGCAGGCCCACCTTAAAGAAGTATTTCAGGCATACAAGATTTGGGGAGGAAAAAACAAGCTTTACATTTTCGGTTTTAGTTTAAGGAAATACTACTGTTTTGGAAACCACCAAAACTCGGATAGATCTTATTTCTGCTGTTAGTTCCTGCAACTCTGAATTCATATTAGGGCAAAATTTATTTCCTAAATCAAACAACGGCTGGCGCAGAGTTTGCGGTAAGGGCATTCTCAGCGAACACGGGCAGACGGGTGCCGGGTCTCCAGCCCTGGGCTCCACTTACTCTGCACTGCCGCTCGTACTCGCTTCTCATCTGCGCCAGTCTCTCCTCCTGCAGGAAAAACTCCGCACTGCTGGGATCCAGGTCACCGAACTGAAACGGCATGAACGGCATCCAGTTACTCTTCCACCAAACAGCCCTGCTCATCGCAGCCCGGATGCCATTCGCGAGCAGTCCTGCAGCCTGCACCCCCTCCCCTCTGGTTTGGGCTTTTTTATTTATTTTAAATACAGAAGCTCTGCTTCCCTGCTGGCAGGGGACAGCAAGCAGCCCCCCTAACAAATTCGAGCTGCTATCTCCCCATAGCTCTCATGCTAACTTTGACTGCAGACCACAGCTTTCCAGCACACATCTCAGTTTGATAAATAATCCCGACTTTAAAGAAGTCCGGGTGAGAATCCCAGTATATGAGCCTTTGTCTATAGATGCGCACGCACAGAAATGCCTTTGGAGAAGCTGATATTCCGATGAGTTGATTGTAACACAACCAAGATCAGCTGTTCACCTTGATTTTCACCCAAGTTTCGCAGCGATGCCACGTAATGCCTCATGTATCATCTTCCCTAGAAAGGACCTGCACGTTGGGTCTATCCAAAACTATGTGCTGGGGGGGAAAAAAAAAATAATCCCTGCAGATCTGTGGGATGGTTGCTTCACTGTAAGGCTCCCTACCGTTAATTAGTATAAAACTACAGCTAAGGTGGAGTATCTTTAATTTCCTTAACTGGAAGTCAGTCAGGCGGTCCAGGTCAACAAGGTAGGCTTTGCCCTGGCCACATCTGGATAGGGACCCCAAAAGCCTCCGGCTATTAGTTAAATTAGCAGCTCGAGCGTAGTAACCGAAAAGCGATTTAATTCTGGACGCATACTGGGAAGAGGAGGATTTACCTTCTCAGCCAGGACGTTTTCCAAGTTCCTCTGCAGTTTGCTTGCCAAACTTTCATACTCGGCCAGTTTTTCTCCCGTTTCCAATAGCTCGCTTTCCAGGCGGCTGTTTTCCTGGACCAAACAAACCCCCCGCCCCGCAACGGCCTCAGCATTTGGAGAAGGAAAACATTAGCACATGGTAACTCATTAGAAAAAGAGTAATCTCCCAGTCAAGTCGGAGCACGACACTGCTACAAGCTCCAGCCAAAGACAGGAATCGCGAATTTGTTACCCGCGCACGTACAGCCCTCTTGCTGCAGCAAAACTGCAAGCGTGAACGCCGGGCCTGCAGCTGGCTCCCCATCCCCACGCTCCCTGGCTCCTCTCGCCTTTCAGATCGCTGCTTCAGGAGTATTTTACAGTTTTCCTGATGCTCACAGGGTACCCAAACCCTTCAAAAGCTGCTCTCCTGAACACCCGTACAGGTGTATTAGCTCCCTCTGACTGTCAGCTCTTTTGATGTTGTTTGTCAGACAACACCATTACCATTAACTTTTGCTCTGGTTAAAAAAAAATTTAAAACTATACAGTTATGCAGCTGTCAGATTCAGAAAAAAAGTTGTGACTTAAGTGTTTTCTTAAAAAAAAAAAAAAAAAAAAAAAAAAATGTGGCTTTTTTTTAAAAAAAAAAAAAAAAAAAAAAAAGAATGTTGGAAAAGGATGTGAATCTACAGGGTCATGGGTGAATGGTACAATTGCATTAAACAACAGATGGTTTATCCAAAGGAAATTCAGCAAACTTGCTTTAGAGATTTTTTTTTTTTTTTTTTTTAAAAGCAATATTTTAAGGTTCATCAAGAGATATCATCTCCTGGCTGGACAGCCAAACAGCCAGCAAGGCAGACAGCCCATCCGATAGCCGTACACACGCACACTCTGCACTTGATGGCAGCAGAGGTTTGAACTGGATGGAGCCTTAGGAAGCCAAGGAGTAACCTATCGAGGTGACTCAAAAAACAATTCTCACGGATACGCCTCTATCTTGCTGCTGAAATTACTTTCAACTAGCTCCACGCGCACTGTAACACATCTCTCAGCAAGGACTATGTTGCAAGGCTCGCTCCCCACTTCGGGCATCCTTGCCTTTTGGGTGGAAAACACCAGCTGCATTTTAGTCCCCGTTACCTTCAGGGAAAGGGCCAGGCGGTCCCGGATGTAATTCTCATCGGTTTTCAGCTTTTCTATCTCTTGCTCCAGCTCCAGCCGCTGTTTATTAGCCTGCTGCAGGATTTGCTCCCGCTCTCTCCGGAGCTCGTTCTTTAGAGCTGCGATGCGTTCCTTGTACTCCTCATCCAGCTTCCTACGAGGGCGTCAGAGGCAAGAAGAGCTCATAAAAAGAAGCAGGTGGCAAATACCGCTGCGAGCGAAGCTTGGTGGCAATCAGCCAGCACAAAGCCGCTACCTCCGTCACCGAGTCCCTGCAATGCCGCGGCCGCGATCCCAAAGAGGAGGGGAGGGGCGAACCGCGACGCCGTACCTGAGGTTGTACTCGTTCCGGCGCTCAATTGCGGCGTGGTGGTCGTCCACTTCGGAGGCCATCAGCGATTTCAGCTTTTCGGCTTTTTCCAAGTCTGACCGCAGCTTCTCTTTCTCTCTGGCCGCTTGGTCAACCCTCTCCCTAGGGCAAGCAAAGCTGGCCTGGATTAGGTCACCCCTCTGACTCCCCCGAAGAAGGTACTCGCAAGAGGTTTGTCAGAGAAGAACAGCTCGGAAAGCTCACCAAGGGTCTTTTATCATCAGCTGCATTTAGTCACTAGATACGAACTTGCGCACATAGCTCTGCGTCTGCCTTGATAACCCCATAGGTCCCGAGACCTCAGAACATGAACTCCTCAGCTGTGGTCTAGCCCTCTAAAATTGCAGCACTATGCCATTTTGCCAGGCCACTTTCTGCCCCATTTACTTGTTCTCATAATTTTATTACCTTTACCACTTCATCATAGAATCCCAGAATCATTTAGGTTGGAAAAGACCTTTACGATCAAGTCCAACCATTAACCTAACACTACCAAGTCCACCACTAAACCAATTAAGGGCAGAGAAATAATTAATTTCATGTTCATCCTTACACTATGTCCAATCTGGTAAGACCCATTACATTGCGCAGCTTTCTCGATGGGAACTTAATAACAAATCTCTCCACTGAGTGAATGTAAAAAGGTATTTAGACACGTAGATGCAAACCATGGGACGCCTCATCTTGTAGCCATACAAGTGAAACGGGCAGCTTGCGAGTACAAGCGATGAGCTGAGAGGTAACAGGACGTGCGCAGTATTAACGACCAGCAAAAGTCATCCATGGTATTGCATGGAGGTGGATGCGTAAGCTGATAAATATCTAAACTATTTGAAGACTTACAGTACAAAGCCACCACTAACAAAGGGAGCTCGCGCACGTGGCAGATGGATGCAAGAGTTACGCAATGGGTACGAACCAATGCAAAACTGAGGGCGCAATGCTTAGAGCGAGGGTCTCCAAAGTGGGGTGCGCAAGATGGTCCGCTGGTGGGCAGGAAGAACTATCTGAGCTTCAGTAGTACATGTATATAAGTGAGTAAATATACGTACAGGGAAATTTATATATAGGGAAATGTTTCCCCATCTCCTACGCTCTCCCAATAAAAAGGCCTGCACGGCAAGCCCAGCGCAAAGTCAAACTGTGTTGACTTTCAAATGAAAAAAGTGAGGGTGCATGGTGGTTTTGTACCTCACCCACACCTCTATCACACGGCAAAACCTACATAACGCTACTGCAAGAAATCAGTTAGGATTAAAGGTATTGCTTAGCAAATTGCACCAGCCTCTGTCTTAAGTGTTGCATTCCTTGGCCATCAATGACCACTGCATATTGCAGTGACCATTTCCAGACCACAAAGTGGGGCTAGAAACAGCCTGCTGCTTTTTTTTTTTGTTGTTGTTGTTGTTTTGGGGAAAAAAAAGTATATTTTTCCTGTGATACTTGGGTTTGAGTGTTTCAACCATACAAAACGAGAGTTGAAAGTTTCTGACCAAGCTGTCACAGAACCTAGCCTTCCAGCAAAAGGCAGCACCACGTCGATGCCCCTTGGAGAGATGCTACGAACCACCATTAATCAGCTGCTACTTAAGCTTGGCCAAACGGCGAGGGCAGCGAGGGAGCGGCAGAGCCGGCGATCCGGGCGACTTACAGCAAATGCCTGATCTCCGTTTTGAAGCTTGCCAGGGCTGCCTGGTGGACTCCGTTCTTGGTTATTAAAAGCTCGTTTTCTAGCGCCAGCGTCAGCTCTGTCAAGTTCACCTTCCCATCCAAGCTGAAATCCAAAGCCTGCAAAACACCACAACGTTAGAGCAGAACGAGCTCTCCTGCCCCGCTGGAGCCTGGAGACATTTGCACGTGAAGCGACAGAATAAAATGAGGAGGCTCAGAAAAGATCTTTGCTTGCCGATTAATCTGTCACAAATGGCTTTGGGGCAATAAACCAGACATCTCTGCCACCTTCCTACGTTAAAGAGCTGCTGCCAGCTATGGAGATGGAAAGCGTCCTGGTTGAGCTGCAAGACCAACAGGAAATTAAGCCCAGGCCTGATTAAAAAGACTAATTCTCTAGAGGACCTAACTACACCGGCCTTTTTACATATTCAAATACTGCAAGAAGGCGGTTGAAGACGTTCATGTTAAACACCACCAGCTCTTGCAACAGAGACAACACAGAAGAAGCCTTGTAGGAGGTATTTGGTAGCACGGATCCCACCTCTTAGAAAATAAGTTGTCAGCAACTGCCTGTAATTTCCTTCAGCCTAACTCTGCAAGAGCACAAAGCGGAGCGCAGAAGGGCTAGCTGTGGGGCTGAAAACGCTGCAAACACTGGAGAAACCACCCCGGTGACACCGGTAACAAAGCAAGTCACCGGCGGAAAGCAACAGGCAGAAGGGAAGGTGAAGGTGTAGCATGCAAGTCTGGAGAAGACCGTGCCGCAGCATCAAACTGGCCTGCGCAAGCCCAGGCTGCAAGTGGGTTTGAAAGCCTGAGCAATGGCAGAGTTTATTACAACCTGGATGTTCAATATCCACACGGACATTAAATGCCAAGAGAAATCTGCCATCATCGCTGCAGCGATGGTCTCGGAACAGACACGTGGAATTATTTTCTCCCATCCACGGCTTCTAGCGAGACAGACAGGGATGGGGTTTGCTTCAGGTATCTGGCTTGCAACGCCCGTTACCCTTTTACTGTGTATAATAAACCACTAATTACCGGGCCGGGTTTCAAGTGCTGTCCTCCATCTCAGCACAACCAAAAATTCAGGTCATCCCAGTGCTAAAAGGTTTGCAGGTGCAGCTATTCAGCGAGGTAAAGGAATTAAATTGCTTTCTACAAATATAGGTGACCTCTTCATGCTAAGCTGGAAGCCACATGACATTTTTGTCATTAACTTCCAAGCTCCCTGGGATGCACCATCATTTCAATAAAAGAAAATGATTGGAAATTTCCCAGAACAGTTAGACTCTTGTCACTGGCACTGGGAATTTTAAAGGGGGGGGGAGAAAAAAAATAATCCAGCTATAGTCCAGCAACCGAGTGTGGGGGTGGGGCGGGGAAATGGTAAATAAAAGGGGTGAGATGGAGCTGCCGGTTACCTTTAGGATCTCCTGGCTGTTCTCTATGCCCTCCTGGTGCCAGCAGTCGAGGATGCCCTCCACGCAGCCGTAGCCCATCCCGTCGTCCAGGCTGGAGAAGAGGCAGAAGCCGACGGTGCTGGGCATGGCCGAGGGGGTGGTCGTGCGTCTCCCGCTTTCATCGAAGGACTGCCGGGAGAGGGGAGAGGGTGCGACGGGGCACGGGCAGAGCCAGGCATCTGGCCGCCCCGCGACGAGAAAGGCTTATAAATCTAATTTCGCTAACAGTACTCTGGAGATCAAGGATTAAGGTCTGCTTTTCCTCACTGCCAAGCAAACACCCGGCAGGAGCGCCGCTGCCGACCTCACGGCACCGCAGCGCAACCAGGCGCTTCGGATTTGAAATAAATCTGAGGAGGAACAGTTTCAGAGCCACCCTCTGTGCTCCAAAAGGGTTTTCCACTATCCAGTTTCGGTTTCAAGCATCAACTCCCCTCGGAAGGCTGCAGTGTACCTGCGTGCACAGGTACTTTTGCTATAGCCCTCAGCTGCCAGGCGAAGATAAGTAGATTGCAAACTCTCTTTCAAACAAACAAAAAAAATATTAGAGATGCAGGACCCGCATGCCCACAGTCTCCAGCCTACCCCAGGCCACCGCTTCCCGCTGCATCCAGTTCATACCGTTTGCTTACTGCACAGCTTGCAAGAGCCACCTCCAAGCTACGCGGCTTTAAAGGGGAGCCACCTCCAAGCTACACGGCTTTAAAGGGGAGCCATCTCCCCTTCACCACGAGGATGTTTTCTGCCTCATCCCCCCCCCACACCCCAACGCACCCAGAGGAAGCCTGCAGCAGCTTCACCCCATGGCTCTCGCTCGGGGCGGAGGCAGTCGAGCCCGCGGTGCTGCCGTGCATCCCTGGCTCCGCTCCCCGGCAGGGCAGAGCCGGGGAGCAGCGGGTCACTGCCACCACCTCCAAGGTGCCCACCCCAGGGACAAACGTGGAGGAAGAGGAGGGGACAGGCTAGCGGGAATCAGCCCAGGGCTGCTCCCCCTCCTCCTGCTTTTGCCCTGGGATCCACCTCAGTTTCTCACCTGCATGGAGAGGTGTCGTTTCAGCTGTCTGTATGGAGTAGACGCCGAGGGTGTCAGCGACTTGCCGTTTTTAAACAAGCCGTAGAAGAAGTCCTCGATGCTCATGGTGCCATCTTGCTCCAGGTTATGGAGCACCTCTTCAAGCACCTGCAAGCGGCAGGGGATAGAAATCACATCTGCTATTGCCAAAAACACTGCCGTAACAATTTGGCGCAGCAAAAAACGTCCTATTCCCTAAGGCTCTACAAAAAAAAAAAAAAAAAGAGCAAAGCAAAAGAGTTACCTGGTACACTGCATCAGCCTAGCGCTGGTACAGCAACCTTCATCTAGAAAATTGCAGCGCCACATACGCTACCACAAATCCTGCCTGTAAAAGCCTGTAAGCTCCTGGTCATGTTGGAGCCTCCATCTTGCGACGCAGCGTGAAAAAATAAAAAAAGCCACCTCATTTCATTCTGCTCTCGAGACAGGGTGACCTCAGGAATTCAGTGCAAGGTAGCGAGACAGATGCCGAAACCCCAGTGAAGTGACCAGGCAAAAAACCACAGTAAGACACTGCAAGGTTATAATAAATCTGTTTCATGCTTCAGGGCAGTCTGCTTTCTGAAAAGCAAGACAAACCTTATTAGGACCAGAGATGTTAAGATTAGTCCCTCACCGTTGCTTTGTCTACAGTACATTTTTTCTGTTTTCTGCCCTAATATCCTGAAAACATTTTGTTGCAAATGCTGCAAAGGAATACCTGCTCAGAAACACGTTTTATGAAGGAAATGATTACAAGCCATGTTATTTTAAGGTGCAAAACAGTCTGATTTTTTCCTAAAACTATATCCTAAATTGACAAGAGACTTTTTTGATAGAGAAATAATTTTCTTGTGGATTCTTCCTGGAGGACAGAAACTGCCCGCAGGCCTTCTCAAAGTCAAAAGCAACCATCTATGAATATTTGAACCCGTATTTACTGTCTAGCTAGAAGATTTCTGGGATTAAGGAGACATGCCTGGAATCTAGGATATGTTTTTAAATTCCACTTTACCCTGTGATTGCATGAGAAGACACGCACGCCACGGTGTCAGGAAGGCTGGCAGCTGCCTTCTACTAGAGCAGCCTCCCACGTCTGAGGGTTCGACACCAACAAACTCGCTGGAAAGCCGCGAGCTGGAGCTGAAAATGGCTTTCCAAGTAGCAGCCTGTTAACCAGCACTTGTGCTTTAGGCTTGCGGTCCACCGCAGGACAGCCTTTGCGGGGGCCGCGCTAAAACCCAGGCGCGTGCGGTGGTACGAGTGGGTCCGTACACGGCCACTCACCTCCCCGGCCACCATTTGGAGCCCATACTGCTCACAAATGGAGATGAGCTTTTTCCGGTTCAGGTGGCCGTCCCTGGTGATGCCGAGGTGCTCGCAGACCTCCTGCAGTTTCTCCTCTATCCAGTCCGGGGTGGGCAGCGATGCTCCGGGGGAGGCGTTCAGGTCATCTGGGTTCCAGAAGCGCAGCTGCCCTGGAAACGGGGGAAACTGCTCTGCTTTCTGCCCATGAGTGACCACCAAAAGACCCGGGGGTTTTGCACATCACAGGGGACTCGCTGCTGCAGCGGCAGACCTTCCCCCCTTGCTCATCAGACCCCACGGGTCCATTTGCCTTACCTCATCCTGCACAGAACACACCTGTAATTTGGGGGTACAGCTACCGGCACCAGCGTAGCTATCGGACTCTACCAGAAGGAGCAGATCCTGCTCAGCTTTCAACTCGCACGTGCCACCGCAGGCGAGGGAACCCCGCATCCAGGCGCAGGGTGAGCTGCAGCCACGACCACGGCCAGGAGGATCTCCGGGGAGATGAGTCCCATGGCCAGTGTGGGCTGGTGGCCAGGGGAAGCACAGCCCTGCCGCCTCGGCCGCTGGCATGGGTAGAGAAGGGACCTTCCTCTTCTGGGCAGTTATGAGATCAAGGGAGAGGACTGATAGCACAAGAGGAAATGGCCTCAAGCTGCGCCAGGGGAGGTTTAGATTGGATATTGCGAGAAATTTCTTCACCAAAAGGCTGAAAGAGTGGTCAAGCGTTGGAAGAGGCTGCCCAGAGAGGTGGTGGGGTCCCCATCCCTGGAGGGGTTCAAAAAACGGGCAGAGGTGGCACTTTGGGACATGGTTTAGTGGGCATGGGAGTGTTGGGATGATGGTTGGGCTGATGATCTTAGAGATCCGTTCCAACCTTAGTGATTCCTAGTTTTACTTCCATTAAAACTAATCCAGCCACCAAGCCAGGAAACATGAAATTAATTATTCCTCTGCCCTTAACTGGCTTAGTGTTGGACTTGGTAGTGTTAGGCCAATGGTTGGGCTGGATGATCTTAAGGTAGTTTTCAACCGAAATGATTCTATGATTCTATGACTGAGCAAATTGCATATCCGTATATACCTTGACCAGGTCAAGAACTTCAGTGGTTGCCTGTCTCCACAAATGTCACCCCCCAGGTGGCACTGCCTAAACTCCCATCCCCTTTGATTGTAAACCGTAGGGTATGTTTTGATCTAAGTGCTTCCAAACACCCTTTCAGGGGAGGGGAAAAAACCCAATAGCCTTCAGACAAACACATTTCCTCTACCTCCAGCAAAGCCTGGAGTGCAGTCTCACCCAGCTGGAACAGCTCACAGAGCCACTAGACACAAAACAGTCAGAGCCTGCTCAGCTGCAAACCCACCTCCTCGCATCTGCTACCTCATCCCGGGGCTGGAAAAGTGGCTTTTGGAGCAAAAAATTTGGTCTCGTTGGACAGGGTAGGGAATAGAGAGCAGCTGAGGTGTTGAAGCAATCGAAAGTCGCGTGGCTTAGTTATAAACACATCTGTGCGTGCTGCGGGCTGTGCTGCGGGTGAGTGCCAAAGCCTGCCAGCCCGGCGACAGGAGCAGCTCGCTGCGACACTGTTGGCTAACGTTGCGGGGTCCCCCTCGAGCATCCCTGCCTGAACCAGCGGTAGAAAAATCTCTGGCCACATCCCAGAGCAAAGCGGGACGTGTCCCGCTGCTGTCCCTGCTCAGCCCCCGAGCTGCTGCCGTGCGGGACGGGGACCCTCTCGGCACCCTGGGGGTCACCCCGCTCTGCCTTACCGGATAATTAGGAACCATTTAATGACCGGTCCGTGCTGACATCTAGTGCCTACCGTGCTCCGCTACAGCCAGCGGCCCCACAGCCCCCCGGGCGGGAGTGGGGACCAGGACCAGCCCCGGCCACTGCTCTGGGGGTGCTGGGGCCAGGGAGCACCTGCAGCAGAGCAGCCTCTGCACTGGACAGGAGGAAGAAAATTGGGCAGGGAGGGTAAGGCACAAGACTGTGCCCTCCAAGGAGCCCCGCTTTAGCTTTCGTTCCCAGCTCGGGGCTCGCTTGCCCAGTGCACACCTTCCCGAGCTCTGCACTGCGCCAGGCTGGGGCTGCTCAGCACAGCCAGCTGGCCTGGGACAGTCTGAAAGCGCTCCTCCGATTCATCTTCAAAGCTGAAAAGGGAATAAGCCCATCCAAGTGTAGCTGTTTGCTCTTACCCTCGGCCTCGTACTCCTCGCTGTCTCGTGTCTTCCAGCGCTGGGGAGAAAACAAAAGGTTCCCGGGTTATTACTGTTGCAAGACATCACCCGTATGAAAGAGACTCTGCTATCAGCATCAAACGAGCTACAGGGCTCCAGCAACGCCACCAGGCTTTCATCTCCCCGCTCCCCACGGGCTCGGCTGGCAACCCACGGCTCTTTGATGCTGCCTGTTTCTGGCACGCAAGGTGCTTCGGTGGGGATAAGCCACAGCTGCAGCAAAAGATGCCTACAGCCCCACAAATGAGCCACGAGAGGTGACCGATCGGAGTCCGGCAGGTTGATGGGGAGGGAGGGAGAGATTTGCCCTCCAAGCAAACCACGCTGCTTGTCTTAGAGGTATCGATGGTCAAGATGATGAGGATGCAGGGAAGAACATGAGCTGCACATAGGCACCGTCTGAGTTTGGGTTATCCTTTCCCTCCAGCACCCTATTTTCCCATCGCAGAACGGCTACCTGCAGCCCACAGGGCTCGTGTGCAGCCAGCCCGCAAGCTGGGACACGAGCGCAGCACGCGTTGAGCCTCGAGCATCCCCGTCACGGGTCGACAGAAACCGGCGTGGCACAACAGCATCCCACAGCCCCGCTCCCCTCCGCGGCCGATCGCGCGTCACCCACGCCAGCCGCAAAGCCCAGGCGTCCCGGGCACCGGGGAACGCGCATCCACAGCGGGTAACGAAGCCGCAGTGAACCCATGAGCGCGACAGGCGCATCCGCTTCCAGGGCACGTGCGATTTGGGAACTGAAGCTTGTGCTGCTTTATGCTTTCCCTTTTGAGAAGGGGCACCCGTCTGCCTGCAGAGCTCGAGGGCGCTCAGCCAAGCCCACTCCGAAACACCTCCGCTAACTGTAGCTCTAGGTCAGGAGACGGAGCCGCGCTGCCAACAAGCTCTCTGCTGAGCTAGCTAGAGGGGAAAAAAAAAAAAAAAAACCCAAAAGCAAACATACTTGTTGCTGGTCTTAAGCCATCCCGCTTCCTCTGTGGCAACACCACATCAGGCGGCACCGGGAGCAGGGCAGAAGTACGTTGTTCAAAATGATTTCCCCATGTACTACACGTTGCCTTGTCTACCACCCTTGTACCAGCCGAGGGTATTTACGACGCTCGGCGATGTTAACTTCTGGTTTAGCAGCAGCCGTCGGCAGATGTTACTTCTCCACCATTACAAGTGGATACTTCTGCATGCACGTGACTGATGGATTTGAAGTCAAAGTCACCCAGGGCATAAAGAGGCTCTAAATCATCATATAAAAGTTCAATACGTCTCATTCAGATTACAGCTAAAAGCCATTAATCTACAATGTTACCATGGAAACTGGATTAGGTCACTGGACTTTTTTTAGCTCTGCTGCTCGCTCCCGTTTCATCTCCTGGACCAGGCGAGGACCTGCGGCATCTCGATGGACCCCTCTGCTTTTGGGGCCAGTCACAGGGCAGGGATCGGGGAGAGCCTCGGATGGAGAGGGGAGCTTAACCTTTGCCTTCCCAGGCAGGCTGCAGGCAGAAATCAGCCTGGCAGAGGCAGGTCACAGGCAGGGCTGAAACCTGCGGCTCTGCTGGATGTTCTGGACAAAGCCAAGAACATGTGTAATACTGCACTAGAAAGCTGCGGATTTTGGCCCCAAAAAGTGCAGTCCAGCTAGCACCACCATCGAGGTGTTAGGGTGGCAGATTCCTGGTTTGCCTGCTAAACCATCAGACCAAGCACACAAAAAGCAGGAGCTGAGGCAACAGGTACCATCAAATTACCATCTGCAAAGGCAGAAAACAGCCCGCCTTCCCAAAAAACGCATGAGTTGACACCAGCCCAGCCCATAAGTGCCCGTACATATGCAAAGGCCAACTTGGTGCTGGGAGAAGGATTCTTGGGTGCCAGACAGAGCTCCCACCCTGCAGCCACTCATCCTTGTCCTTGGGGGAGCACTGAGGGGAATCTGGGCGGTGATGCTCAGAAGGGAGGTCCACTGCTGGGTCCAAGTCTTTTTGTATAAGCAACATATATATTTTTATACTGAATCAGATCTAAGCCATTTAATCATAGAATCATAGAATGGTTTAGGTTGGAAAAGACCTTTAAGATCATCCAGTCCAACCGTTAACTTAACACTACCAACTCCACCACTAAACCAATTAAGGGCAGAGGAATAATTAATTTGATGTTTCCTGGCTTGGTGGCTGGATTATTTTTTAATGAAAATAAAACTAGGAATCATTAAGGTTGGAAAGGACCAGGAATCACTAAGGTTAGAAAGGATCTCTGAGATCATCAGTCCAACCATCAACCCAACGCCTGCTAAACCATGTCCCAAAGTGCTGCATCTACACATTTTTTGAACACCAAAACACCACCATTTAGCACCAGAACCTCTCACTTCAAGGACTTGCCTCAAGACCAAGAACCCCAAACCGTGGTTTGGGTAACTCCAAGCACACGGTAACTCCATAAATACCAACAACCTGAAGAGGCTGAATGTAGCGGGGGGCTGCGGGCTGGTAACCCACTGCCACCGGAGCTCGCGTGACCTCTCTCCCCGTGCCGGGGCCCCGCTGCGGAGGGCGAGGGGGTCCCTTTGTGCGGCGGGGGCTTGGGGTCG